TTTTTTCGAGATCTCGATCTCGAAAAATAGCTCGAGATCTCGGTGATTGCGAGATCGAGATTGCATTCCCTAGTAGGTACCTACCTATAGCATTATAGCATCCTCCCATTTTTTCTCGCGGATTTATCCTAAACACTTGGCTAGTTACCTACCAATATTACGCTATACCTATGTACCTACTTGATGCATTAGGGTGGCTAGGGTACCTATTAGGGTGGGCGGACGTAGATACACACTACAAAATAAATACCATTCAAAATAATCAAATCAGACACCCTGTATTGTTCTGTGCTTATGCTGCCTTCTCAATTTTCAAAACTTCTTTATTTTTACCCGACTGCCTCAGAAGGAGGGTTATGTTTTTCGAGAATAGGTATGTATGTATTTTTGTATGTACGTATGTATGTTTACATGTGGACAAGAAAATTCTTTTTCACGGGCTACAGCCCAAATGGATAGTTGGATTTTGAGATATGAGGTGTCGTTAGATTCGTCTCAGCAGCACGAGTGACACTGGCTATATTAAAAAATCATAATTTTAATATGGCGGATTTTATCGCAAAATACAACTTTAAAATGACCGCAGTCGGGTTTTTGTTTTTTAATACATCATCTGCTTGTTGTCTATTACGTTTTACCAACTTTAGTTTATCTATTTTTGTCTACTACATTTCGGCGACCTGCATTGCGCGAAGAGCTATTACCACCGTGTTGTAAGTAATTGTTACGTTACTGTTCTATATTTAGAGAGATAATAATTTGGAGTAGAGTGGACTCGTATGTAGGTTTGTAAGTATGTAATTGTAGTATGTGTAATATATAGCTAGCTTATCATTATTAAAAACAAAGGGCGTGATATGTCCATTGCAGGACTTACATCCCCCTACAGTTAAAGGTTAGATAACGTGCCATCCGAAGCCCAAATATCCATATCACATTTCTGAAAATCAGATGGTTCAGCCTGCAATGTCCTCATTAGGCTGGGAACAAATTCGCAAAGTTTATATTTATCTCTGTCCGTCCGGGAATAGAACCCGAAATCTTAGCCCCGCAGCAGGCAGTTACAGAAAAACTGCGCCACATATAGTAGCAAGCGTGTTAGACGTAGGTACTCTATCCAGATGGACTATGAATGCGAATCTGCAAGGCATAAAGCTAAAAGCTAAAAGTGTAACTTCCATACCTGAGAATCCGATTGAATGTGAAACAACCAGGACCTTTCGCCATTATTCAACACTCATCGTTTCAGCTTATATGTTGACTAAGTAGGTAAGTACCTACTTAACCAAAACGCCTTAAATGCTGACTAAGTAGGTACTAGTAGGTAGGTACTCAACCAAAGCGCTTCTTCTAATTGTTAAAATCTTGGCTAAAAGCAAGATACAGTAGATTTTCGTACCTACTCATTGTGTTCATACGATTGTGTGTAGTAAAATAGGTACATTACATACGCATGCCCTTATAAACAACATCATCCGCTATTAGCTCTACCGCTGCCGGTGTAGTAAGCGGATGAGACAGGTAGGTACTCAAGCGAAACGCTAGTGATTGTTGGAAGAAGTACCTAGATTCTACCAGAACATTTGTGTAATCATTACATTGTAAAAAACGCCATTCTGTTCTTGGTGAGCAAAAATCTTTTAAGAAAAGACATCAACGCGATAGTTACTTCCGAAACATACCGTAGTTTAAAGAAAAGACATCAACGCAATCCATTTACCTACTTATTTCCGAAACATACATAGGGCCTTAGTGTATAAACATGGCGCTTGCAGTTAGTAATTTTAGGGTGGTGTCGACTTAAAATAGCAATCTTTACCCAATTTCTTCGAGTGGGACTCGTAAAAAGTCACAAAGGGATAAATCCAGGGAATGGTCAGGAGCAATGCTGTGGTACTGACGGTTCTGTGTAATAGCGGCGAAGAATACTGCTACGATGTTGATGAAGATACTGTGATGTTGATGAAGCAATTGACTTAGTTTTTACCCACGACGGAACGGAGATGGTATATGCGTTTGGGGTGAGAGAATGTGTGTTTGTGTGTGCAAACCTATGTTACCAAATATCTTCCAAACCACTCGTCCAATTTTGATACGGTTTTCGGCGATAAATTTGCATTTTAGTGGTGCATGTTCATAGATAAGTATTACGCGAACAACTCGCAAGGGGGCGCTGCAGTTAACATTTGTTTGTGCAAACCAATGTTACCAATTATCTTAAAAACCACTGGTCTGATTTTGATGCGGTTTTCAGTGATAGATGAAGATTTGACTTCGGAATGTTCTTAGCTAAGTGTTACGTGCATAACTCACTAGGGAGCGCTGCAGTAAACTGTCGTGGGTATATTCAAAATTAAAATTTTGTTTTCACTAGTATTAAAACTATTTAATCATATCATATCATATTACTCCCAGCACAGTTTCACCTAAACACAAGCGGTCAGTTTCACCACACCACAACTGCGCTAGTTGTGCAAGGTTAAATTAACGGTGTGCCTCGCTACGCTATGTCTTCATTTGTGTACAGCAAGTTATATGTAACACTAGAACCATAATTTATTATTATGTCGTTCAGTGCTTTATTTCTCTTTCATAAAAACGAGTTCTTGAGTTGCCGTGCGATTGGAGCTCGTTTCGGAGGCCAAGATCTTCTTTGGGTCGCTGAGTTGAATCAGCGGAGTTAGTCAGTGTGATAGCGGCTTAGAATAGCACCCTATTTATTTTCCGTGGTTGGAGTGATAGACGACTGAGGGACTCGAGGGTTCCCTGTATACTACAGGCTGACGAAAGACTGACAACTTCTTACTATTTGTGTCACAAGATTTTTCTGAAACGGCTCTGAAAAATAAAGTGTAAGAAAATCAACTGCAAATATTTTAAGGGATGAACCAGCCTATATGAAACTGAACAACTTTCCCTAAGGAACATCGAAATAATAAAAAAAAATTGAACCTCCTCCTATACAAAAGTGGTCCAGTCTGCCAAGTCAATTTGTATGAGAGGTCCAATTTTTTTTTTTTCATATTTATAGGTACCCATGTTTCTTGGGGAAAGTTGTTCAGTTCCATGGGCTGATTCACCCCTTAAAATATTTGCAGTTGATTTTTTGACATCTTGTATTTGTGTGAAACGTGGTGAACGCCTTGCTCTGCCTACCCCGCAAGCGGTAAAGGCGTATATGTGTGAATGTCTGGGTTCTCGAATAGAGGTTACGCCACAGCAAGCATAGCGTTGGACGTCTTCCGGCAATAGGTATGGACCGATGACTGAAAGAGGGCGGCTGGTACGATACGAGTAGCGACTGGATGGCAAGGTAGGTATATATAGGCTACTATAGGCCTCTTTTCTATTTCGCTACTCCTCTCTATGCTAATCTTATCCATTGAGATCCGGTCGATTTGATGATGTCATCGTACCATCGGGTCAGGCTGATGGTCTGCCCTCGAGTCTTTTTGCTCCTCTTGGCCACCACTCTGTGACTGCTTTGGTCCACCGTCCGTCCAGTCTCCTGGCCAAGTGTCCTGCCCATTTTCACCGTAATTTCGTGATTTTCCTACCTACATCTTCGACTTGTCGAATTTCTACGTTTGGTACGCGATCACTCGGTGCTACTTTAGTTTTGCAATTTTACTTTATTATTATAAAACGATAAAATTATCCAAATCCTCATAATTATTTATGACATAAGTATTAGGTCTTGTTAATCGTCTAGGTTATATCTTTTATGTTCTAGATGCCATTGAAACGCATATAATGTATTCACAGTTATAGTATTCAAATTATTTTGAACACTATTTAGATGCTAAATCCAGGCGGACATAATTAGGTAATTAATATTTTTGAAAATATTCGTGACATATAATAAGACTTCAAAGCGTGATTAACAGCTATTAACATTGAAGTTCATTTACTTAATTTGGGGGCCAAGGCTCAAAATAGAGAATTTACAGAAGGTTCACTCGACCCTATTCAGGATTTTTGCCATTGTCCTTTGTTACATAGCCAGGGTTGCTTTGCTACTGTCAACAATCTCAAAGTATAAGAATTATCAAAACAGTAAAATCTGATACAAAAACGTCATATGATTCTGAGCCAATTTTAATCCAAGAAATATGACGTTCGTGGCAACCAACTTCTTAGTTACCTTGACTTCCCCTGAGATTCCGGTTATTTCCAGTTAAAGTCAGTAAGCGTCAAAATCGTCACTAGTACTGAGTGAGCCATCTGTATAGGCGCCCCGCGCGCCGTTTTCCTAATTTTGTGGCCAAGGATTATACATTTATACCAGTTTCCAAATGATTACTCTTCTTTGCTTAATCATTTATGATTATGACGTCCTGTAATTAATCCATAAACCAGAATCAAGCTAATTGAAGTCTTTGAACGATTTACGATCAAAGGAACAATTTCTTGCGGCAAATTCCCTTCAACTGCGTTAGAGCCAAGAGATGGCTTTTAACGTTTTTTCCCTAAACTGCGTAAAAGCCAAAACTTGGTTCCAATATAGGTATATGAAAAACGGCGCCCGAGACAGTCCCACAGTTACCTACCATCTTTTTTTCTGAAATACAGGGTAAAAAAAATTCCGACCTCCCATACAAAATTCACGATCAGCTGACTGACTTTGTATGGGAGGACGGAAATTTTTTTCGTTTCCCACCTTTGGCTCCATTGTAAAAGTTGTTCAGTTTCATGGTCTGAGCACGCCTGCAAAGTTTTCGGTACACCCAGTTGACGGAATTATTTATTTTGTGATATCAAACTAAATCTAATCTAGGTACTCATTTGAACATAAAAACTTTTGAAGATTAAATTGTACAATAACACAAGTTTAAGTTTGAAAAAAAAAAAATTGTATTCATGCTTAACATGGATGCATACAGAATTTCTAACATACTTAGATTGGGTCCACTTAATGTACGTCTACCAAACATTTTTGATTTTGTGTACCTAATTTGAGTTCTCATAAATTAAATTATGAGAAAATTGAAAAATCCACTAGCGGCCGCCGGGACTTGAACCCGGGACTGTGGATCAACGTTCCACCGCTCTACCAAAGTACCGCTACCGCTCGTGGACTAACCAAGTATTTTAGTTGTAAAAACTACTACTAAAAACTACTACTATTATAGATGTCGCTTAATCGTCGCTTCGAGACGAACATCAAGAGGTTGAAAGATTCACCAGGGTCCGCTAGGCGCCCGTAGCTCAGTCGGTAGAGTGGTGGAACATTCATCCACAATCCCGGGTTCAAGTCCCGGCGGTCGCTAGTGAATTTTTAAATTTTCTCATTATTTAATTTATGAGAATAATATAGCGCTGTGGCCTGTGAGTGCATTAAAAATTCCAATACACTAATTTGAGTTGCCAAAGATGTTCTACTAAACTGTATACTTAATCAATCATGTTACCATTAGGTCCACATATTGAAAAGCCATGGTGTAATACACATGTGACACTTAATTTGTAAAGTAACATCTGCTACAAAGACTATTAAGAGAATACAGAGTGTTTTTGCAAGATTAAGAATGCTTTTTTGTTGCTTACAATATTGAGTGAGATGGATAGCATACAAAACGACTAAAGTTTGCTATTGTTTGATTATGGTAATAATAGAGGTAGGTTTATGAAAATATCATCTTCCTGCCCTTATCCCAATTACTTGGGGTCAGCGTAGTGATGTGCATGCGGCAATATTGCCGCTGCCGGGAACTTTGCCAAGGCAATATTGCCGGTAAATTTCCAATGTTGCCGGCAACTTTGGCAATATTGCCAGAACTACGTCGTATTTTCTAACCTACTATAAAAGCTTTTAAGTCTTATAACTAGCATCTGACGGGCACCAACAAGCTAGGCGACGCTTCCCTCGTGACGAGCATATTAAGGCGTGAACAGCATGATGTTGTGATGCTAAAAGACGTTCCAGACCAACTCGCTCTGGCTCTCTCAAGGTTCAACGGCCTAGTTAGTTAAAAATTTCACGATTTTTAGGTGCCTTACGGGTAAAACGGGACCCTATTACTATAATTTCGCTGTCTATCTCTCTGTTCACTCATCCGTCCATCCGTCTGTCACCCGACATTATTTATCTCATGAACTGTGATACTTAGAGAGATAATAATTTTCACTGACTCCGTATTTCTGTTGCCGCTATGACAAAAAATACTATAAAGTAAAAAAAAATATATATGAAGGGAGCTACCATACGAAAAACGTGCTTCATGTACTACACTTTGTGGTCCAAAGGCTCTTATCTTATAAACAGTGATAGTAAGAGAGATGACACACATTTACAGAACATGTATGTTTTTTTTTACTGTAACAATGAATACTATAAACAAATTGCAAATAATATTTTAGGTGGCTCCAATACAAAAGACTTAATTTTATTATATTTTTAATTTTAATTGTACGAAACCCTTCGTGTGAGAGTCCTACTCGCACTTGGTCGATATTTTTATATTCAAAAACTATTTTAAGTTTGTGATCTTAAAAGCAAAGTTGCCAAAATTCCCGGGAATATTGCCGACAAATTTGGCAATATTGCCGGCAACTTTGGCAATATTGGTCATGCGAAAGGTTTTGGTTGTTATGGACTGGTGCTTACGATAAAGCACACTGCAAGGTATATTATAACAAAACTAAAGTAAAGTTTTGTAGCATAGTTTGGCAATATTCCCTAATATTTCCGGTTCGGGCAATATTGCCGGCAATATTGACGGCAAAGTTCCCAATGTTGCCAAAGTTGCCGGCAACGGCACATCACTAGGTCAGCGCAACTTGCTTTGCATAAACACAAAATCATGTTGCAAAACGATTTTACGATCGGCCGCCTGCCTGACGTCAACTCTCTTTGGGAATGCTATCTTAGATTACCGCCACCATGCGGTTGACCATGATCGGCAGATATTATTGTAGCTAAGGCCAAAAACTCTACGTCGCCTTTTCCGAAACACCCTGTGTAGAATAGGGGTGGCAGAATTTTTGGCTGTTACCACACGGCACCTAAAATACCCTATATTTTAGTTTAGCCATAAATTACTTATGTGCAGGGCGTAGGTACTTGGGCATACGTAGGTACTCGATTCAACAAGGTTTAAAAGTATTAACTTTTTGGTTACAAAGTTAATACAAATGAAGCAAGCGGAAAAAATTCACACCGCCGGCGGGATTCGAACCCACGTCTTCTGACAAGCCGGGTCAGACGTGTTAAGCCGCTACACCACGGCGGGTTCTGCCGAGGCGGCGAAATTGTGATCCACTTGCTTCATTCATATTGCTTTGTCACTTGACTACTCACGGGTAGCTTGAGCGCCATCTATGACTTTGTAGTAGAACTATACAGTCACTCAACTGACAACATTACGTATGTACAAGTTGACGAGAGATGGAGCTTTTTCCGATTTGTGAATGTTTACTATTTTGAAGAAATTTTTCCACAAGATAGTATTTTTTGGAACACTTGGTGTTTTAATCAAACACTAGATATTGATATTAACTTTTTGGTTACAAAGTTAATACAAATGAAGCAAGCGGAAAAAATTCACACCGCCGGCGGATTCGAACCCACGTCTTCTGACAAGCCGGGTCAGACGTGTTAAGCCGCTACACCACGGCGGGTTCTGCCCGAGGCGGCGAAATTGTGATCCACTTGCTTCATTCATATTGCTTTGTCACTTGACTACTCACGGGTAGCTTGAGCGCCATCTATGACTTTGTAGTAGAACTATACAGTCACTCAACTGACAACATTACGTATGTACAAGTTGACGAGAGATGGAGCTTTTTCCGATTTGTGAATGTTTACTATTTTGAAGAAATTTTTCCACAAGATAGTATTTTTTGGAACACTTGGTGTTTTGCAATATGAATATGAATGAAGCAAGTGGATCACAATTTCGCCGCCTCGGGCAGAACCCGCCGTGGTGTAGCGGCTTAACACGTCTGACCCGGCTTGTCAGAAGACGTGGGTTCGAATCCCGCCGGCGGTGTGAATTTTTTCCGCTTGCTTCATTTGTATTAACTTTGTAACCAAAAAGTTAATATCAATATCTAGTGTTTGATTAAAACACCAAGTGTTCAAAATTACTATCTTGTGGAAAATTTCTTCAAAATAGTAAACATTCACAAATCGGAAAAGCTCCATCTCACGTCAACTTGTACATACGTAATGTTGTCAGTTGAGTGACTGTATAGTTCTACTACAAAGTCATAGATGGCGCTCAGCTACCCGTGAGTAGTCAAGTGACAAAGCAATATGAATGAAGCAAGTGGATCACAATTCGCCGCCTCGGGCAGAACCCGCCGTGGTGTAGCGGCTTAACACGTCTGACCCGGCTTGTCAGAAGACGTGGTTCGAATCCGCCGGCGGTGTGAATTTTTCCGCTTGTTTCATTTGTATTAACTTTGTAACCAAAAAGTTAATATCAATATCTAGTGTTTGATTAAAACACCAGTGTTCCAAAAATACTATCTTGTGGAAAATTTCTTCAAAATAGTAAACATTCACAAATCGGAAAAAGCTCCATCTCTCGTCAACTTGTACATACGTAATGTTGTCAGTTGAGTGACTGTATAGTTCTACTACAAAGTCATAGATGGCGCTCAAGCTACCCGTGAGTAGTCAAGTGACAAAGCAATATGAATGAAGCAAGTGGATCACAATTTCGCCGCCTCGGCAGAACCCGCCGTGGTGTAGCGGCTTAACACGTCTGACCCGGCTTGTCAGAAGACGTGGGTTCGAATCCCGCCGGCGGTGTGAATTTTTCCGCTTGCTTCATTTGTATTAACTTTGTAACCAAAAGTTAATATCAATATCTAGTGTTTGATCCAAACACCAAGTGTTCCAAAAATACTATCTTGTGGAAAAATTTCTTCAAAATAGTAAACATTCACAAATCGGAAAAAGCTCCATCTCTCGTCAACTTGTACATACGTAATGTTGTCAGTTGAGTGACTGTATAGTTCTACTACAAAGTCATAGATGGCGCTCAAGCTACCCGTGAGTAGTCAAGTGACAAAGCAATATGAATGAAGCAAGTGGATCACAATTTCGCCGCCTCGGGCAGAACCCGCCGTGGTGTAGCGGCTTAACACGTCTGACCCGGCTTGTCAGAAGACGTGGGTTCGAATCCCGCCGGCGGTGTGAATTTTTTCCGCTTGCTTCATTTGTATTAACTTTGTAACCAAAAAGTTAATATCAATATCTAGTGTTTGATTAAAACACCAAGTGTTCCAAAAAATACTATCTTGTGGAAAAATTTCTTCAAAATAGTAAACATTCACAAATCGGAAAAAGCTCCATCTCTCGTCAACTTGTACATACGTAATGTTGTCAGTTGAGTGACTGTATAGTTCTACTACAAAGTCATAGATGGCGCTCAAGCTACCCGTGAGTAGTCAAGTGACAAAGCAATATGAATGAAGCAAGTGGATCACAATTTCGCCGCCTCGGGCAGAACCCGCCGTGGTGTAGCGGCTTAACACGTCTGACCCGGCTTGTCAGAAGACGTGGGTTCGAATCCGCCGGCGGTGTGAATTTTTCCGCTTGGTTCTTTTGTATTAAACTTGTAACCAAAAAGTTAATATCAATATCTAGTGTTTGATTAAAACACCAAGTGTTCCAAAAATACTATCTTGTGGAAAAATTTCTTCAAAATAGTAAACATTCACAAATCGGAAAAAGCTCCATCTCTCGTCAACTTGTACATACGTAATGTTGTCAGTTGAGTGACTGTATAGTTCTACTACAAAGTCATAGATGGCGCTCAAGCTACCCGTGAGTAGTCAAGTGACAAAGCAATATGAATGAAGCAAGTGGATCACAATTTCGCCGCCTCGGGCAGAACCCGCCGTGGTGTAGCGGCTTAACACGTCTGACCCGGCTTGTCAGAAGACGTGGGTTCGAATCCGCCGGCGGTGTGAATTTTTTCCGCTTGCTTCATTTGTATTAACTTTGTAACCAAAAAGTTAATATCAATATCTAGTGTTTGATTAAAACACCAAGTGTTCCAAAAAATACTATCTTGTGGAAAAATTTCTTCAAAATAGTAAACATTCAAGGTTTAAAAG